TGAAAGGTCAAAAAATGAGACCACTTTTAATTTAAATAAAAACAATTGAGATGGTTGCCCCGGTTTTTCTCCACGCTACCCCTTTTCCAACCCACAAATATATTGAAAATCCTAAAGCCCCGCCCCTTCTCGTCCCCACGGAATATAAATACGATGGATAAATGTAAAAAAAAAAATCACTGACTTCAGAAAAAAAATACAAACTTCAAAAGACACGAGATGGCTGAAGCATTCTTCACTTCATCGCCTTCAAAGACATTTGGAGATTTCGAGAAGGAGTGGTTAGATCTTGGAAAAGATTTTGATGTGGTGTTTGATTCGGGGTAAGTTCGTCTTCTTAAAATTTCATTTAAAAAATCAGATTTAAAACACCAATTTATAAGCATTTTTCTACATTACAAAGAACTGCGAACGATAGTTTTGTTCTCCCGCCTACCTCCAAGTCAGTTTGAAGAAGTTAATACATTTGAATGAATTTTCATATTATTTTAGATATTAATATGAATTTTCATAAAATATTACTTAGTTGGGAAAACAAAGAGAAATAACTCTATTTTTTTTTTCGAAGGGGTTTACAACTAAAATAGTGTATTTAATCAATTACATTTTGTTTAATTAAATATGCGTAAACCATAAGAAAGAATATTTTGAAATATGCTTACGCGTTCAAGCCTGATTTCAATGGAAAACGCCGTCTACCCCTATAAAAACAGTTGGGAATAAGAGTAATTAACTATTTATCACTGGTATCAAAATTATTAATCAATTACCATTAAACTCTTCTATTCATTAACCGAAAATTTTATGGCCAAATCGCAATTAGTATTGAATTAAATGGGTGTAAAATGTAGGCGGGAATCCAGAGTTAGAGTACGTAGTTCTTTACATGTATTCTTTTATTTCAAATTATTATAAATTTGCTTTATTTTCTTTTACCAAATGTCTTTAAATTTCTGTTTAACTAGGAATTCTCCCCAAGACCTCCAACTGACTGACCCAAGATATGAAGAGCCAGTAAAAAAGGGGAAAAAGAGAAAACTGAGTGAGACAGAGGACTCAATCATTCTTACACAAAGGTAAATGTTACCTTTAAATATTCTCTCTCTCTCTCTCTCTCTCCCTCTCGTTAATTTGCTTTAATTGTTAGCTTAAACTGTTTTTTTTAAATTTGTATTTTTTTTTAAAAGGAAAATGGCAAAACAAAAGAGAGAAAACGGTTTCACACAACAGACAAATAAAGAACACCCACAGCTGATAACATTTAGGTATAGTTGTTTTCATAGGTTAAATGTATTACAAATGTACATGTCGCCCTTTGATACGAAAAAATAAAGAATGATACAATAAATAGAACCAAAAAGAAGAAGAAAATATTGAATAATTATCTTGAAAACAGATTCACTTTATAGTTTAAAGTCTTAAAATTTAAAGGTAGACCTCTGTTAACCATTAAAGACTTAAACATTTTTTTTTTCACCATTTTAGTATGCTAGTTTAGATACTGTATGTTTTGTTCTTTAATTACAGGCAGGAAAACCCTGGTAAATATGAAGCCCTGGAAAAGAGAACTAGTACCAGGTCTACGTTCACCCTGGGGTCGTTGACACCTAGATATACCTCAGCAGCATCAGGGTATAGCCCGACGTCACCAGGGTATAGCCCGGTGTCACCAGGGTATAGCCCAGCGTCACCAGAGTATAGCCCGGCGTCACCAGGGTATAGCCCGGCGTTACCAAGGTATAGCCCAGTGTCACCAGGCCCAGCATCACCAGGGTGTAGACCAGCATCGCCAGGCCCAGCATCTCAAGCGTGTCAAGGATCACAAGGATTTGTCCCTGTAAAACAAGAACATTTCCTTCCGTCACCTGATCACACCTTGACTCCACTTCAGGCTCCATTTATGAATACCCTAGCGTCATCGGGGTATGCTCCGGTGACATACAGCTCTGCGTGTGAAGACTCCCAATATCCTCTAAAAGAGGAGTTGGGGGCGCTGTCCGAATTAATCGACTCTCTTCGAGTTGATCTACTTCAAAGTTCCATGCTTGTGAACTATGTTCAAGATTACATGAAAAAATGGAAGTAAAGAGAACTGGCAGTGAAATATCTTTTTTTTTTTATTTTGTACTGATAAGTTTTGGTTAATTTCACTGTGTCCACAGATCATTTTATCATACTAAATGTGAAATCATGTCATTTACAATTGATATTGAAGAATTAAAACTTCATTAATAAAATATAGATTTTGTTGTTGTTGTTATAGCCGCTGGTATTGAAAGTTTTTTATCACAAAAATTAATGTGGAAACAAGAAACAAGTTGTGTATTACTATGTATTACTTACTAATCCAAGATGACAACACTCCCTCTTCGTTTACCAAGATTAGACTGTGAAAAAATTTGAAAAAGTTTGGACTTCTTATAGTAATGATATCCCGGGTATCTTATAGGTGCACCCTTGACAATCCCTCAGTTACAGAACTAAGATGGAATAATTAGAAAGCCATGAAGGCGTTTGAAAAAAAAAAGTTACAAGTTATAATGCCCCACTCCCTAAATGGAAAAACCAAGGTTGAAAATGGGTGTGTAATAATGAACTGATGGGATGGGTGACCCCAAACGACCCTAGGAGAGGTGACCTCAGACGGCCCTAGGGGGTGGTGACCCTAGACGGCCCTAGGGGTAGTGGGTGCCTCTAAAGTGCCCTCAGACTACCCTATGAGTGGTGACCCCAGACGGCCCTAGGGAATGGCGGTGCCTCTAAGGTGCCCCCAGACTACCCCCCTTACTACTCATTCCTTTAGGAAGTTGAGGTGTAGAAGCGGTCAGAGGTTGAAAGCGTGCTATTTTAGGAGTGTGAATGGGTACTTTAATTCTAGGAGTGTGAATGGGTACTTTAATTCTAGGAGTGGGAATTCCCACATTGACTTGAGGAAACATTTCTAAATCGGGAGCTCTTTGACTGCCTATGGGTCCCATAGGACGATCCAATCTCATTTCAGCTTGTTTTTTTAATAATTCCCCAATAGTTTTTTGTCTTTGTTCTTTATAATACTGATTGATTTCATTTTTTAAACTTTCAGGCATGGCTTTTCGTTGAGCTGGAGTTTTGGGAGTCGTTTTTTTCTTTCTACCACCTTTTCTTTGAGCAGCAGGTTTTCTCTTTTGAGGTTTTCTCTTTTGAGGTTTTCTCTTCTTTCTGGTCTTTTGAGGTGCTCGGACCATCCAATCTGGAAATACTCTTTGTTTCTTATTATTGACTCGCACTACCACACTTTTTAAACGACGAACACGTCGTTTCTTAGGTGCATTCCATTTAAATAAATGACGAATGATGACTCCGCCTAGAAATCCGGCTCCTCCGCGTTTTAAAATGGCATTTTTCCTGTCTTGATCACTCGCCGACTTATCGGCTATGATACTTAAATCTTGACGATGATTATTAATAAACTTTTGAGTCTGTTTATTGATAGGTAAGACCCCACGTATCAAATTTCGAGCTCCCATAGCAAACCAATTCAATAAAGCTTTACGCCCTAATTCGATTAAATGGGCTCGCTTGGCAGGATCTCGCTCCTGCTGTAAACGTCGTAACGTTTTCACTAATTTACTCTTGGCTGAGAGAGGTCGACCCATGACGACTGTATTATGATAAATGACAAGTTTAATGTTGATACATTTTTATTTATACTCTTGTGGCATGTGTATAGTTAACAATTCAAACAATCGACTTCTTAATCTGTATTCGTCTGGGGTGTGTGGATTCAAGTCCACCAGGAGATACCCGTGAGGAACACTGGTGGCTTCTTGATAAGCTGACATCAAATGAGGTAAGGCTAACTGTCGACTCAAGACACTGATTTGAGATTTGTCTCTGGGATTTTTAAACAACACTAAATAATGAGCATTCAAACTAATGGTGCGATGTTGTGGTGCCCGATCAAATAAATTCTGAGTGATGTAAATCACACTGGTATTCCGATGATGCGCTTTACGGGTAAACCAATCCACGATGGCTTTTCCTCCCATCATGTCGTCAAAAATGAGTAAGTGAGGAATACTTAAATTGGCTACTAATTTCTCATCGTCTTCTGGAATATTTCGAATGAAGGAGACCTGATCTGTTAAAGAAGTGTAAGCAGGTTGCCATTCTCGATAACACCAGACAATTTTTTGTGGCATGGGGGTAATCCAATGTAAATTTTCCACTAATTTCTTAACAAATTCCGTTTTCCCCGATTTAGATGGTCCTGCTACCACCATGGTAAATTCGTGTTTTAATTGAAAAGACGGGAGTGTCTCGTCAGGTTGCATGATGATAAATGAAGAAAAAAATAGGGTTTCAATCCTTTTTATTCAACACAGAAATATACGTTGAGTTCTCTTCACATCGGATCGACAGATGGGGCAATACCGGAAGGTGGGAGCACATAATGAACAGCAACATACGTGTCCACAAGGGAGTAAAGCCATTTGTAATTCTCCCTCTAAACAAATGTGACATTTTCCTGTGGCCTGAATCTCTGTAGAGGTTTGCTCTAGTAGAGGTTTAATTTCAGGTGAAACTTTGTATCCCACCCGGAGTAAATGGTTAATGAATACGATCATCACCCACTCACGTCCTTTATAGGTATTGATGTAAGGACAATTAGGGTTCCAATAAGCATGTTCTACATAAGGATCGTCTGTAGGTTCCCAGTTGGTAAAACCCATACCACAATGAAAACAGATGGTCTTATCACCCACTCCCCTGTAATAAAATCCGGCTTTGGCTAGGTTGGGTAATAATCCTTTTAAAGACTCGGGCCATCCCTCTTTAAAGGTAGCTTCTCTCTTTAAGAGCAGAGCATAGTTAGGGTAATGAGGAACCCCCTCTGGCTCCCTAGAATGATTAGCCATGACTGAAGTGTTCAAATATGTTTGCCCCCTTTTTATAACCCCTTCATTTTTTAGGGGTTTTCCCCACATAAAATAAAAACACATTTTGAAATACAGTTTTTTTTAATAACCATAAGGTAAAGTATTATAATCTTCCATTAATTGTCTCTTATCATAGACAATTCTATATTGTTTTTCTAAAGGTACTGTCTTGACTTCATGTTGACGAGTCCTCTGTATTTTGTAAGGATACGAGACTTGGATTTCATCCATTTCTTTCTTGAGCATTTTTTCTAATGTCTCTGGTGATACGATATTGGAAGCCCGATAATTAAGAGTCAATCCTTTGACTTTACACACGGAATTTCCCTTCGCGGTAAGGTAAGCATAATTTTTAGGACCTCCTGACATGAATTTGATAATGTGGTCCCCGTCTAATTCATCAGTCCATTCTCCTAAACTATGGCCAAGGGTAGGATTAAATTGTCCCTCCTTATGTTGGTATATGATACTGTCCGTATCGAAATAAAGGACCCGATTTCCTAAAGGTTGTAAAGTCTCGTAGAGGTGTAATCGGGCATGAGCGGTAGTGAAACAGGCCAGTACCACGTTTCCGAAGGGACACTCTTCTACGAATTCCTGTTTCTCTTGATAATTCACCAGCATCATGTCTGGGTCCTCTTTATTTTCTAAGAGTTCTAGCCCTTTGATGTCAATGGTCGAATCTTGTAAGAGTTGCTGTACTTCCTCTTCTTCGGTCAAGTATCGAGTTTTAGGTAATAACAGGCGTTGAGCGAATTTTCCCCACAGGCAATTTAAAAAGAGTTTGGCTATCGTTCTTCGCACCGGATTTTTTTCTATACTTAATAGGTCCATTCTAATGCCTTCTCTGTCTATGACTTTACGAATGTAATCTAGTTTTTGTTCCTCCGTCTGACAATCAGGTGGGAATCCAGACGCTTCCTGTTTGATCTTTAAGAAGGTATCGATGTAAGATCTGAATAAATCTTGACTGCTTTCTGGAAAATGCCAAACCTCGTAAATCCGCTCTAAAGTATATCCCATGTCTAGGGCTTTATGTAATTCTGTAGTCACCCAAGTACCTGTAAGACTGCGTTCCTGGTCTGTGTGTTGACATCGATGTTTAGAAGTAGAGTCCTGTCGTTCCGCACAGGTTCGACATAATGGAAATAATAACTTGCCTCCTGTGCGATAAGGTAAAATGGGGTGATAGAGGCCTCGGGGTGGTAAGACCCGACAGTGAATGAGACCGAAATAAGTTCTCACGTCCTGGAATTGGTCTGTTATGATCTGAGGATGGCCTAGGGGAAAAGGTCTGTGTTTTAACACGTAAGGGTATAAGGAACAGACGTCCACGTATCTCATGTCCCCCTCCTCACAATACAATCTTGTAGCATTGGTCCGGCCTCCGTACAGGGCTTCTCGGGGGTTCAAAGGATCTGGAATGTCCAGATCTCGTACATAATTCTGTAATGCCCCCTCTCTTTGTACTTGTTGATCGAAATCGTGTTCCCAGATACTACGTACGGAATACCCCATTTCCTCTAAGACCGTATTCCTCCTTAAAGTTTCCTCGTGTAATTCCTGGTAAGTAAATTGTGTCCGGTGAGGATGAGTTTCGGTCTGTAAATTGGGATAGCAAGTAGGGCATCCGTGCCAATAGCATCCGTAAAATTCGTAGATGGTACGAGTAGCTTCCTGGTATCCATCTACAGTATAACTTCCGATCTTGACTTCTCCTCCGTTTCTAGCATGTCGTATGTGAGATCCGCTCTGGTGACTCATCCAGGTTAGCCACCGACAGGCTTTGGCGGAATATTGACGCGCAGGCTGATACCCCATGTTGGGAATGATGGCAATGGTATCTTCGGGCATGAATCCTCGACGGTAAGCTAAATTGGCCGCACTGGCAAAAGTGATGGATTCCTGGAAGGGGTCTACATGGACTAAGGTCTTGAGAGTGGCTCGAAACTGAGCACAGCATCGTCGTAAAATATCGACGTCTGAAATACAATAGTCTAAAAATTCCTTCTGGAAATCAAACACTTTTCCGGCTTGTTGTTCGTACCATTGGTAAAAAGCCTGTCGTCCACTTATAGACATGTCGTCCGGATTGTAGAATGCTGCCGGTGGATAAGGCCCCACATAATTCTGGTTCTGTTCTGTATTAAAAAAGTGAGGGAAATACCCTTTTTTCAGTTCGGTGAATCCGAAAGCAGAGGGCATTTTAGACAGAGCAAAAGGTAAAAAATTGTAAGAGTCGATGAATTTCAATCCGCAGATTTGCATGGATAAGATTTTACTGCCGTTCATGATGACTGTAGGCGTCATGCAGGCGGAATGCACCAGGTAATTTAAAATGAACTGTCCGTCATATCCTTTGAAATTGTGGGCAATGATGATAGCCTCGTCGTGTAATAAGGCGGAATTCTTATTCCCTGTGTCGGGCTGTAATAACCAGTCCATGAAGTGTTTTAAGGTATCTGGGCCTTTAAACACGTGTTGACGGGGTCCCATGTGTCGACAGTGAGGACAGGGATCTTCTATGGGTAAGTGCCCGCAATGTTGACATACGCGGTGTGCCACACATAAATTAGGGACGTGGATGCCGTTTTCCTGTGTACATTCGAAATCAAAATAAATATAAAACTGTAATGTCTCTTTGCCTTTCTTTTTCTTTTTCTCAGGCTTCAGTTGAACGTAGCACTGATGATCCGTGTCTACAGTTTTCTTACAGATCTTACATTGTTTCTGTCCTCCGCAATGATGATGAGGGAGTAATCGTTTGGGCATCCATTTCTCACAATGCTCGCATCGTCCCATTAAACTGCATACCGTTGTGGCCGTATTCTTACTGTGAGGCCGTAAATGGTTTTCGTAGCAAGTTCTGCTCTGAAAAAATCCCTGGCATTGATAACATTGAATGTGGCTCCCGTCTGGAGGGCAGGGAGTGTCCGTTAAACAAAATGAACAGCGGTAAGGACACTTGGTACGATGGTCTGTAATGTTCCTGTACCCCACATCGCAATGATCACAATAGTATTGATTGCCCGTCACACCTGGCATAGACAAAATAGCATCGTAATGATGATCGTCTAACAAAATGTTTAAATAAGTTCCATCTCCGCAGCCTTTATAAATGGGCTCTAAACTGAGTTTAGAGGAGGTGGACTTAAACTGATATATTTTCAGTCTATAACGAGGGGCTAACACCTGTTGTAATTTCCCCCATTCTTCGGGTCCACAAGGCTGATGAATATCACAGCCGGCTTGTTCCATGAGAGCTAGGGCTTCGTTTTTCTGGTCATTAGCTCTTACATCTCCTAATCTCATGCGTTTCCATAATTTTTCCCATTCAACTAAACTCTCTGGATTTTCCGGTTTTTGACTGTGTAACCGGGTGACTACGATGGCTCGAGCTAAACAAAATTCATCCCAAGGATTGTCGATCTGAAGGATGCATCGTTTATTCTTTTTAAAACTCTCCTTATTGACCATCAGGTGTTTGGTATTCTGTCCACCACTGCCTTCTGGATATTTGACATGAAACATGTCGAATTCCATAGACCCGTCTCCCAGTTTAAAATCTTTCTTGGATTGTTGCACGGCTTCTATTTTATTTAAAATGACGTCCTCGTTTAAATGTTTACATTGAGTAAACTCGTACCAAATGTCGGAATCCAGAGAAGGGTGGTGAATGTTCAGGCGTACATAATCGTTAGGGTTACACTGCATTTGATATTTGACATTCTGTAGCATGTCTCTAAATAATCGCCGAACAAAGCCTCTGTTTTCCTCCTCTGGAAATTCTTTAAAATTCACACTGTACACATCTTCTTTAGCTTTAAATTTTCTGGAATGCTTAGCTTGATTGAGTCTCACTTGGTAATACTGGGAAATGGTCTTTGGTTTCGGTGGTGGTGGTGGTGAATGTGGTGGTGATGAAGACGGAGAGGGTAGTTCTTCTTCTTCTTCAGGTAGATTCCGTAAACGTTGTAAGTGTTGAGCTCGGTTGGCTTTGGCTCTCTTTAATCTTTCCATTAATCTCGCATTTTTTTTCCTGAGAACTAATTCTCTGGTTCTCTGTCGAGAAATAATTCTTTCTAATTCTTTCTCCCGTTTTTTCCATCTCATAAGTTGTTGTGCATGTAACAATTGTTTCAAGGCACTATCAAAATTCATCTTGATAGATCTGACAACAAAATGAGCTGAAAGTCGGAAGAATGCTGTATTTATAGAGTGTATGAAGTCATAATACCTAGGTAGTTCGCTGATCCAAGACTAAGTATTGAGACGTACACAGTACGTACAAAAGGGTATATAAAGCAGAGCTGGAAATTTTAGGATCAGTCTTAGTGGGCATTTGTTACTAGACAGACGTAAAAATATGGCAGAGGAAAAGTCCATGAATTCACCTCCACTCATACCAGAGACACAGGATAGTATTGAAGGAAATGAAAGAAGTTTGATATGCGATATCTTAGATCAAATGACCAATGTAATGGAGATACTTCAACAGACTATTTGTGAGTTTAAAGAAGACATGATTACTGAGATTCGTGTGTTTAGAGGAGTGATAATGAATGAGATTGGAAATCTAGAAAAGAAAATAGAGACTAGTCAGGATCAAAAGCAGATTAACAACAAGAGGAAACTTCCTGGTACTACCCAGACGGAGAAGACCCTGAAACTCCAGAAGAAAAAGTAAATATTATGTACATTTTTTACTTTGAATAAATCATCTTACACACTTTTTGACTGTGTTATTGTTTTTTCCGTTTTCAGAAAATAGAGCTCTGTGTGAATGACACACATGGCGTCACAATGGTATACTTGAATCGATGCCAAGATTGTGTATTGCCTAGGCCTGAGTCAGCACAAAACGTAGATTAAACGTAGACCCCCCTTTTTTTTTTACTTGGGTTTTTCCAGGGTGTATACTAGATTGAACAGGTCATCTGGGGCCAAAAAAAAGTGTACTCAGTTGACCCGGCCATCCAGGATCTGGGGGGACAAAAGTGCACTCAGTTGACCCGGCCATCCAGGATCTGGGGGGACAAAAGTGCACTCAGTTGACCCGGCCCTCCAGGCTTCTTATACTACTTAAGTAGCATAAATTAAAATTTCAGATAACGTATTTTAGGAAGAAAAAGGTGTCAATGAGAGCGTGAAAATTTATTTGCTAGGAGAAATCGCTGTTTCCGACATTCATTCCATTAATATTAATTCTAAATAAAATTGAAATAAATTCCACATACTAGAGAAAGCAAGAATACTTGGTATTAAAATATCATATCATATCAAGAGAATCGACTGCTATTCATAACAACTGAAGAAATAACCGAGAAAAGCTTTAATTAATTTTTATGTTCATCGCCCCTAAATTTCAGATACGAAAAAAAATGTATTGTTTGCCGTTAACATTCATAATTTCTACATACTTAGGAGATTCGCCGTTAAACTTTCAGGAAATTTTCTTTTAGGTCTCTTCTACAGTTAACCGAAATTTTATGTCGATCCGAGGTGTTAAATAAGTTTTAGAGTAATATTTTAGGTTGATACTGGTTTGATTTTTTTTTTTTGAAAAGAGGAGTAAACTAGTTATTGATTGTGACCTTTTGATCAAAGGTCAAGGTCATCAAAGGTCAAGGTCAATGTCAAAGGTCAAGGTCAAAGGTCATGATCATGGGAAAATCCTGGAAATAACTCCTTACTGCATATGTTTTTTTTTTCATCATGATCGAAATTACTACAAACAAATAAAATATTCATTGTACACCTAAATTATTCACAACTGATCATCCGTAAAAGTTTCCATGAAAAACTACTCATGTTTAAGACAACTTCCGGTTTTTCGGCCGGCACTTCCAGTGAAAATAATTTGCATGGTTATAGTCTATCTAACATCTGCATTAGCCAAACATTTCTGGAAAAAGAAAAACTTGGAAAATTCACATTTTTCCATCGATTCCTGTCACGACCGAAAGTGACAGCAACGTAGGATTTTCACATAATGTAGAAAAACTGGTGACTGACTATCAGTCCTGAAAGTTTTAGACTTCAGTAGTGTACTGGTGCTGAGCAATTAGGTGAATAATTTTGAGGGCAGGAAAATACGCGACCGGAAGTGAATTTTACTGAGATGTTTGACGTCACTCTAGACATCTGCAATCTCAATAACATATCTATAAATCATTTAAAGAACTTTATCTATAAGCAATATTTATGGGGAATTAAAAACCTCTATTACGTAGTTTTTCTCTTACAACCGGAAATTGTCATTTTTTTGTTGTTTCGGGTTGGATCAACACATATAGACACTGTGTAAAAGATACAATTATATGATGCAAGTGTCATTTCAAAAGAGAAAAGTTGAAATTTTTTATTTCTTTGGTCACTTCCTGTGACGACCGGAAGTGACGACTGACGCGATTAACCCAAATGGTTTCACATACTACTCAAGGTCTATTACTCATATAAGTTTGGTGTCTTAATCTCTTACTGTTTCTGAGATCTCACTCAGACAAGTTTTCATTTTGCGGTCATTAAAACACGCGACCGGAAGTGAATTTTACTAAGATGTTTGACGATACTCTAGACATTTGCAGTTTGAATAACATATCTAAAAATCATTTCAAATACTTTATCTATAAAAGATATTTATGGGAAAGAAAAATACTCAAATTATGTAGTTTTTCTCTTATAACCGGAAGTTGTCGTTTTTGTTTCCGGTGGGACTGACATATTTCGAAACTACAAATGAGATGCAATGAAGTGATGCAAAAAAAGATTCAAAAATGAAAAGTTGAAATTTTCGATTTCTATTATCATTTCCTTTGACGACCGGAAGTGACGGCTGACGCTCTTAACCCAAATGGTTTTGCCTACTCCTCAAGATCTATTAACCATAAAAGATTGGCGTCTTAATCTCTTACCGTTTCTGAGATATGACTGGGACAAAATATTTTTGAAAAAAACGGAAATCGGACATATCTGACGACAGGAAGTGAATCTTGAAAAAATGAAAAAAACGCCTGATGGTATTTTCATTCTCTATCATCCCTGAAAATTTCAAGAAAATCCGCCCAGCCACCTCTGAGAAATCGAGGGGACAAGAAAAAGGGAAAATAATAATAATAATAATAATAATAATAACTAGAAACTCATTACTAGTAATGAGAAGGTCTTCCGTTATACTACTTCCTGTTTGCACGAACACGTCTTTTCCAACATCGGTATTAGCCTAAAACTTATGTAGAAACCAAATAACTTAAAACAATACTTTTTTCTTTGTTTCCTGTCACGACCGGAAGTAATGATGACACACGATTTTTAGACGATGCAAATGAACTGATGATTGACTTTAAGTCGTGAAAGTTTTAGACTTCAGTCTTTTACTGTTGCCGAACAATTGTGAGAAAAAAATTATAATTTTGATTACAGGAAAAACACACAACCGGAAGTGAACTGAATAAAAATCTCTGAATTTTCTCTTGGCTTTTGCAGTATCTACAGCATATGTAAAAAAACATTTCAAATACTTATCTATAAGTAATATTTATGAGAAAGTTAAATCACGAAATAACGTAGATTATCTCTTGAAACCGTTTAAAAGTTTAAAGTTTTTGTTTCCGGTGGAATCTAACATATTTCAAAACAGCGAAAGAGAAGCAATAAAGTGATGCAAGTTTTAATTTTAAAAAGAAAAGTTGAAATTTTCGATTTTTTCGATTTGATCACTTCCTGTGAAGACCAGAAGTGACGGCTGACGCTTTTAACCCCATGTGTATTGCCTTCTCACCAATGTTTTTTTCTCCTATAAGTTTGGTGTCTTACTCTCATGACGCTTCCGAGATCTCGATGAAATAACTTTTCATTTTGAGGACAAGAAAACACGCGACCGGAAGTGAATTTTACTAAGATATTTCATGTATCTCTAGACATCTGCAGTCTTAATATCATATATAAAAATCATTTACAGAACTCCATCTATAAGCAATTTGTATGGGAAAATTAAAAAAAACCCTATTATGTAGTTTTTCTATTATAACCGGAAGTTGTCGTTTTTTGTTTCCGGTGGGACCAACACATATCGTAACTGTGAAAAAGATACAATTATATGATGCAAGTCTTATTCCAAAAAAGAAAAGTTGAAATTTTTTATTTCTTTGATCACTTCCTGTGACGACCGGAAGTGACGGCTGACGCTCTTAACCCAAATGGTTTTGTCTACTCTTCAAGGTCTAATACTCCTATAAGTTTGGTTTCTATATCTCTTACCGTTTCTGAGATCTCACTCGGACAAGTTTTCAATTTGGAGACTTTTAAACGAGCGACCGGAAGTGAATTTTACAAAGATATTTGACGATACTCTAGACATTTGCAGTCTTGATAACATATTCAAAAATCAGTTCAAATACATTACCTATAAAAAATATTTATGGGAAAGTAAAATACTCCAATTATGTAGTTTTTCGCTTATAGCCGGAAGTTGTCGTTTTTGTTTCCGGTGAGACGAACATATTTCGAAACAACAAATGAAATGCAATAAC